AGGAATCAGTCCCAGCAGTGTCCTTCTACAGTCTGTGGGCTTCTCTCAGTAGCAGCTCATTAGTGCCGTGTGGGCAGGGTTGTTTTTTTTTTACAGTATAAAGGGCACATTGCACACCAGTGACAGACATTTAAAAATAGATTGGGGCGCCTAAAATAATTCCAAAATATTTCCTCTGTCTCTCTGGTGGCTATCCAGCTGGTGGCGCCGTAGCTGACTGCCTAGCTCAACTATGCCCTATAATGGCCCTAGTTACAATAAAAAAAAGATCTAACTAAAGTTTATTAAAATGATTTTCAAATGTGGAGTGGCTAGAAAATATAGTGTTCATGTCCATGAGCAGCCACAGATCTGCTGCCTGTGCCCTGGTTCAATCAAGGTGAGCAATATTCAGAAATAACGTGGCTGTTTCACCATTTTAGTTATATACAGTATATTATGAATAGCCTATGTTATTTTGACATATTAGGGGAGGCTATTGTTTTGGCTACAGTCCAAATAAAATATTAATTTAAGCACCCCTTCTCACCCCAGTTACTTTCATACTGTCCCTTAGGAGATGAAGTGATTGCTAAGTTGTACCTCTGTAAAGCTGAGGTAAAGCCTGAAACTAGTGTTAGGAAGTGATAGGTCTCTGTGCTTAGATCACACATAAATGTGCTGAAGTAACTGGGCGTTGACTCGCTGTATGAAACAGCTGTCAGATTGCCCTGCGACAGTCAGCAGTCTGCTTGCTAGGTTTGAAGCCCTCCGGTTTCATGGACAGTAGATAAACCTAGTCACACAGTACAATAAACATAAACAGTGACGAGTTCATAGCATACCACAGTCATGAGCTGGTCCTTCAGAGCAGACTGAGCGAGAGAGGGGGGCTGGAGAATGAAAGTATGCTGTATATTTTCTGTTTAAATAACAGTGGCTAAAGAGGAATAGTAACAGAATCGTGCCTATTTAGTGACCACACGAGCTGAAGGCAAACCACTGAGAGTGTAGTGACATTTATAACTTTTCTAGAAGGCTTGTCTTCTCACACTGCATCAAATGACTAATTTCAAGCAGAATGATGCATTTTTTTCCTCATACTTTACTGCTGGACTAAATTTTACTTTTAACCTGGACAAAGAATAAAGGTTCTTCATGTGACAAGATTATATTAATGTACAAATCAGTGGGGGTCAATCTTCAACATTGGAATGCTTTATGAGTTTTGCTAAGTAAAGGTGATGAATATTGATGAATTGCACTGAAGATCTTGCTGTTTATATTAGTCCTGCAAAACCATTTCAGTAGCTTTTGAACTTATGGTGTTTTTCAAATAATTCCCAAAATACCTAAAATAAGCATAATATGCTATTAGAATCTGGGGTTGTTTAAACTGCTATTTTTATGATTCTTTTATTGGCACAAAGCAACCATTAAAGCAAATCTGCTTTATTGTTTGAAATTGTATTAACTCAAACTGTTTTGTAATATTGTTGTAGTGGCTACAGATTCTTTCATTTTGTAGTACACACTTGACAATACTATCTAAAATATTGAGACAAGGAGTGTCTTGTAGCCCAGTGGTTAAGGCACATGCTATATGACCGCAGTTACTCCCGACGAGGGCCTTTGCATGTCATGCTCCTTTCTCCCTCCTTTCCCTCTCTATGCTCTTCCTATCAAGGCAACATACAGTAGTAACAGGCAAAATACTGTATTATGGGACAGCTCACTGTACATACAGTGACAAGAAAGCATGAGTAAGTTATCTGCATTTATGTTTAAATTTGTCTTAACACTAACAGAACTAACAGCACACAAATCATTCAAATATTCATAGTGTAGGTTAAAAAAAGTGTGTGAACTCCTGTGTTAAAGATATCAACAAACATTTAACACTAAATCTAAACTCCAGTCAAAGGTGCATATGGGAAAAAGGTGGACTGAAAAGTCTTAGCACAAACATTCTGACTGATTCACAGGCTGATGACTGTGAGGAAAATGCAGATGTTACCTCCACTTCACTGCAGCCTTTAGACCCAGATGCTGATCCAGAGTCCGGTGCTCAGTATGCCTTGCAATATGTTGCCAACTACCAGGCATTCGATTCTAAAACTCTGGACTGAGCAGGGTTTATTCTATCTCTATCTGACAGCTCATCTCACTCTTATACATGTAAACATCCACACTTTTTACAACTGTAGACAGACTGAGTGGACACAGACGGAGAGAACTGATAGAAATGTGACAAAAGTTGGGCAGTGCACAAACCAACAGGAAAAATACATTTTGCATGAAACCATTACTACAAACTAGTGTGCCAGATCTATTGGCAACCATATGTGGCCAAGCCATAATAGAACTGCCACTATGTTTAACAAGTGCCCTACAGTGTTACAGGCATCAGAATTGAAATGAGTGTTTCTTTTGAACAACGAATAAAATTGATGAGGTATCACATCAAAGAATGTGCTGCTGTGTTTTTTTCAATGTAACGTGGGACGCAGATGAGTTCCAAATCACTATTTTCAGTTTTAATTTGGATTTTGAGTTTAAATACTATCCCAACTTTTTCTGATTTGGGGTTGCAGCTCTGCGAACTCCTGAGAAACATATCTGGCTTACTAGCTGCTAAATGCTCCATAGTGACCCCAGTTAGTCACTAATGGTGTCTCTAGTTGTAGTGAAGCTCCATAAAGCAAGGCAAGCTACAATGTAGGTGATAATGCCCTGTACGGTCATTGTTACAAATGACCCCCTTGACATTGTGTAAGTTAATACAGAAACAAATAAACATTGTTGTCACAGTTCATTATAGCCCTTAAAAAAAAAACACTGTAACAAGTGTAGGTATACATCAGAGATGTTGGGCCTTTCATTTCACCTCTGACCACATATTACTTTTCTGTTGTGTTGATTTCTGCTACCTACTTTGGCTTCCTGCTTTCATATGCAGTCATAACTACAGGAAGAGGTATATAGCTGAGGGTGTATGTAAAGTTATTTTATTTGTACAAGGTTGCAGCAGAGTGGAGCAGCAGAGTATGCCGTAACCCCTAATCACTTTTTTTTTTTTTAATACAGTAAACTGATTTAAATCAATCGACAAATCTTGGAAGGACTATTCAGTGTAAGCAACAGCTACAGAGCTGGCACTTCATCAGTCAGAATGAAGTTCATATCTGTCTTCTCTTGTCTTTTGTACAGTAAGTATCTTGTTCAAATACGAAAATGAATTTATTTGAACATATATTTATACACCAAAAATGCTTTAACTCTTTTTAATTTCGACAGCTACCTGCACAGGAGGCACCGACATAGAGATAGAGGGATTCGAGGGGAAACAAGTCTCATTTCAG